AATTATGTCCTTGTATTTTTATAATATATTCATATTTTTATATGTGGATGGCTCTACCCCTTAGCTATTCATACAATAAGGAGGAGAGATCTATAGTATAAAATAGACTTTTTCCTACAGGTTGTATCAGCTATGTGGATATTCAAGTGGGCACACTTAGCAAATCTATCTACATTTATTATTAATCAGGAAAATCTCTCAAGTGTTACTTCTTTTAAGAACTCATTTATTCTACTGCTTTGAGGAGCTGCCAAAAATTACAATTGTAGGCAACACACTTCAAAGGCTTTTCCTGTCCAGAATACTTGGTACTACATCTCCTTCATCTTCTTTCTCATCTTTGTCCTCAGATCTCCCCTTTTTGATCATACCCGTGTTACCAATTCTTATTCTTTTGCTAAAACCTGAGCATATTTGTGCTTACCTGGATATACACTTCACTTTTCTTCCATCTTTCAAACTATGTGGATAAACTGAAATCAGGCCATCCTGGACTCAGAAGTGGTGCTTGATTCCCTTTTCAATCCCTGATGTAGCCAGAGGAGTGGTTGAAAACTTCTCAGAAGGCAAAGTGTTCTAAGACAGGCCTTAATTTCCCAGAATAAATTTCCGTATACCTAAAGCTGATTCAAGGGTTTTTGTAGCCAATGGAAAGAGTGCTGAGGCCATGCCATTCAAGTTTGGCCCAGAGAACTGAGTCCAAAAGTATACTTAGACTTGGTTCTCCAAGCCGCTTTCATTCATAAAGGTCAACACAACTCAAGCTTCCTGGCATGCACAGGAAAAAGCATCGAAAATCAACAATTATGTTGGCTAGTTACCTAAACCTACACCTGCAGACTTGGCTAGTATCTGCATTCTTCTTAATGGCCTTTGTGTGTAACAGCTGCCTTGGTCACCATAGGTGATCAAGAATTTCATTCAGAATAGGGGGAAAGTGATGAATAATCTCCTTTTTCTGGCACACTTAACTTTTTTTATCATGAAAGAAGGAAAAATATTTTTCTACTACCAAACAATAGCACTGCTCATGAAAGGACAAATTAGCCTGTCCCCTTCGATAGAAATAATCCTGCAGAAGTTAAGAACCTAAAATTTCCACACAGTCCATGGCTTAAATACTCATATGGAGAGAATGGAAAAAATGTTTATCACTAGCCTCATAAGGCTTATTTAAAAAGCTGCTTGTAATCATCTGAGACAAAAGGACCCATATCAGCTCCTCCCAAATTGGAGGGTTAGCTGCCATTTTTACAACTACCCTACCACCATATGGTAACCATTTAATGTCAAACAGCAATTACAGAAGGATGGGAACAACATTCCCCACCTCAAAATATAGATATCACAAATTCATTTACTACAGGTTTCATCATTATATTTCTGGGCAAACATGCCATTTGAGTATTTGCAAAGCTAAGTGCTTTTAAAGTGAAATGTTTATTATTACCTTTCTGATCACCAAGAATCCATTCAACTGCTTCCCAAATGAGGTGAGTGGAAGACAATATGTTTGATATATGGCGATTTCCTTGAATGCCTTCATAAATAAATGATAGGACCCTCAAAAGCCTAAGATGATCTATTTAGTGGTAAGTATCTCATGTAAGGCTACTATGCAAATCCATTCATTTTAGTAACCATCTAACTCAGCAATGGACAGACACTCTAGTAGTTAGGGATGCTTTACATTTAGGAGAGGCTAAAAGATAATAATGGTTCTGATGAGCACTCAAACCAGACATGTGGACCGGGCCATCATTTTCTGGGGTTTCCCCCCCTTTCATCAATAAATTCTTTTTAAATTTTTAATCCTTGCGATATATATAGGCTGTTTCCTATTATGATTTGATTGCTTATTGTATCCTATGACTATCATTAAGTGTTGTTCCTTATGATTCTTGACTCTTGATGAATGTATCTTTTCTTTTATTCATACTGAGAGTATTTGCACCAAGACAAATTCCTTGTGTGTCTAATCACACTTGGCAAATAAACTATTCTATTCTATTCTATTCTATTCTATTCTATTCTATTCTATTCTATTCTATTCTATTCTATTCTATTCTATTCTATTCTATTCTAATGTAATATTTAAGCTTGACAACTACTTTTGGCCAGTATCCTGCCTTGAAATAGCAGAAAAGGTGTGCCAGCATTTTGGGGGGGGAGCTGTGATCACAGAGGGCTGAAAAGAAGTAGTCTAACTTTAGCCTATACAGGTAGTCCTCAACTTACGGCTGCAATTGAGCCAAACATTTATGTTGCTAAGTGAGAAGTTTATTAAGTGAGATTTGCCCCCATTTTACAACTTTCCTTGCTTATTAAGGGGAATCCCTGCAGTTGTTAAATTACTAACACAATTGTTTAGTGAATTTGGCTTCCCCATTGACTTTGTTTGTCAAAAAGTCACAAAAGATAAGCACATAACCCTGGGACACTGCAACCATCATAAATATAAATCAGCTGTCAAATATTCAAATGTAAATCACGTGATTATGGGATGCTGCAACAGTCATAACTGTGAAAAATAGTCACAAGTCACTTTTTTCAGTGCCGTTGCAACTTCGAACAGTCACTAAATGAATTGTTGTAAGTCAAGAACTACCTATATAAAGGCTTTTTAAAATGATGGCGTCATGTCACCATTGGTGATATAAGTTAGCAAAGAATATAATTGCAACTGTGAATCCATACTCCTGTCCAAGGAGGAAGACAGAGTAGAAAGCAAACAAACCCACACAAGAAAATGAAGTATTTAGATATTCTGAAGAACAGCAAATACAAAAAAAAAAAAAAAGGTTACATCACCCAAATGTTGCAATAATGATGACTTAGTTCTTACAAGGAAACCACAGATAACTTTACCCAGAACCTGTTTCAAAACTGAAAGCTCATTTCAGCAATATAGGAAGAAGTTAATACATCTACACATCTTGACTGTTCCACAATACTTTCCACATGCAATGTTCATAAGCATATAACACGGGGCAAGACTTTGATCATGTGAGTCATTCACACACACACACACACACACACACACACACACACACACCCCTGCAGATACTTTTGCTTCTGGGATGCCTGTATACTTGTCACTGAATGATTCAGTGTAATGTGATATCTAAAATTGGCACCTGCCAACAGCATCATTAGGACTGAGGCAGTACTGAAATAAAGTTTCTGGATACACAGGATTTTTTTTCTTTAGTGGGGAACCATCCTGACTGATCTTTAGACTGCTAGGAGATAAGGAACAAAACATCCAGATCAGTTGCTTTCTGTGACCTGTGAACATTACACCAAGCCCTCACGCATTACACAAGGGTCTCTACCTCCACAGAATGGTAAAGTCCATACGGTGGCTGGAAAGGTAACACAGATTCCAAAAGAATCATGATTTACCCTTCATGTAGCCTATTCCTCTTGCCAGGTGGAACACTAAAGCCAACTAGCCAAGCCAAGGCTTGTTCCTAGTCAAGTCAAGACCACAAACCAGGGATTGTTCTTGGTATATAGACTTGTTCAGCAAAAATAGGTCAGAAATCACTGTTTGAGTGATCTGATTATTACAGCAGCTGAAGGGGAAAATATTGGAGGGGGAGGGTCTTTTTTCTTTCTTTCTGTAAATGAAGTATTTTCTAATGTGAACAGAGTTCCTAAAACTGGGAGGATAGAAAGGAACAAGAGATAAATATAGTACAATTTATACCCATATGCTATTGTACAATATTTATCCTATTGCTGGGAGAAAAAGAGAGAGGAGAGAGATCGGGGAATTATGATGAGAGGTTAGTGATTTCCAGAAGATTGACTCCCAATATTTTATCTCAGGCTGTAACTTCCCAACCTATGAAGCTGCATAAGAAAGAAAAAAAGGATATAGATGGAACCACGAGCAAACCATCAAAGTCCATAGCAGTTCAGGAAACAAATTCCTATGGCTTGGAACATATATACATGACTTTCCTAGGTTCTGCATTGTGTAGGAAAGCTCCAAAGACTCTCAAGAAGCATCCTTACCTTCAATTGCCCTCTCCATTTGAAGGTGACAGAATATGGATAAATGGAAAATGTACATAGCTTCCACTCTCTGAACACTTGAGACAATTAGCATCTGAACACCAATAGCCTGTTATTTAACTCTGTGTCCATATCTATGTTCGTATCCATTGGCCTGGGTCTGCTGATGGATCTCAAGATTAAAAACCAAACAGACTGGACAGGTTCGGCATCTACTCATTCCTGAATAACCTCTCCCCCTCCCCATTAAAAACAGTAAAGTGTAAGTGGGGAAAAAAGAAGGAATAAGGAGGATGGAACAACATGAGGCCTAGAATTGTGTGTGTGTTTTATATCATGTTCAAAAACGCTCTTTTCCAAGACATTTCATCTCACCAATGTGTGGGCCATGAATAGGGAACAATCCTATAATCTTGGGAACTGCTAGATTTCCATCTTCTGTTGGACTGAATAAGTTTGGAAAGTCCTGGGTTTCAATAGCTAATATGCATCCAAAATAAGGAAGAACGATGTCTTTGTGCAAGCCTATCTAAATGAAGCCATCTACCCAAAAGATTTCCCCTCCAAGCTAGAAATTTATATGCACCAAATGTATTTTCAATTCTAGGTACCCCAGGCAGAAGCTGGAGACACCCACGGTTTCTCAACCTCTGAATAAAAACAAAAAGTCAAAGACAGCTTATTGCACTTTAATCCCCAGGCTCAACCAGAGAGAAACTGATGGGGAGGAAGATAGAGCCGCATTCTGGACATGGTCAGAAAGGCTCTGTTTTGGAAACCTGGACATCTGAACTCCCCCCCAAAGAAAAAAGACTCTGGTGCAAATCCCTGGCTCTGGAGAATGCTTGCAGAGAGTCTGCTGCTGTAAAGACAAGCCATCCTTTAGCTGCCATTCTGGGTCGCACAGGGGGTGAGGGGATCCTTCCTCTTCTCCCCAGCTTCCCATCCCTGGCTTGACGGACCTCTGCCCAGCTTACCGGTGCGGGGGTCAAAAGTGACCACGAACACTGCCACGATCTGGTCTTCCTCCACCTGCGCCGGTTCCTGCTCCCGGAGGCGCCTCCCGGCACCGACTACCACCGGCTCCCCTTTGCTGCCGCTCCTCCACGCCGAGGAGGAGGAGGTGGTGGTGGAGCCACAGCCCCTCCAGGTACCGGGCTCCCCGGGCTCCGGTAAGGAGACAGCCGGGCCCTCGGCCCAGAAGAGGAGCGGCGCGTCGTCGGCTTGCTCCACCATGGCCGGCCAGCTGCGGCGCGCTGAGGTTCACTGAAGGGCGGCGCTTGAGCAGCCTCCGCGATCGCTCGATCTCCGCCTCCCCCGTCACCGACTGCCTGCCTGGGCTCCCCCCCGGCCGAGCCTCCAAGGAGAAACCGACGGGCCTGGCTTGGGGAAGGATTCCCGGCGCCCCGATCGCGGACGCAAGCCCGGGCGAAGCTGGAAGGTGGAGCCCCAGCCTCTGCATGGCTTTAATGGGAAAGCAACCCTCCCGCGCCCGTCGGACTGGAGCTGGCTCTGGAATAGAAGCGCATAAGGATTGCAGCGCCGGAAAGCCGGATCCTACTCAAGCTCCGGCCAGAAGTGAATCTCACTTCGGTTCAAAACAACCGCCCCTCCCCCACAGAATGTAAAGCTTTACTCGCATTGAACGTCAGTCCGCTCGGTAGCATTGAAATTCACAACCGTTCCCTGTAAGGTCCGCTATCCGCTAAGACCACCGTTTTAAAAACATGTAGGGGTGTATTCATGAAAGCAGGGAAATGTTATTTTCTGAGTATTGTGGTGTTTATAGCTGGGCTGTGCATTTCCTCAGAGAGGAGACCCAGATCTGGATTGCAAAATTTCCGACGACCACTAGATGGGGCCTATGGGATCTGCATTCAGAGTTTTGCCAACGAGATAAGATGATGATTGTTGTTACTGTTGTTGTTATTGTTATCATCATCATCATCATCATACCATTGGTGACATGGTCAGGAACCAACTTGCTTTGGCACAGCATCTTTAAACGTGGCTGAATCGTGGGGTTTGCATAATAACGTTGAATTAACCCCACAGCTTCAGTTTTCATAACATCAACCACAAGTATTTGCCAGAATGAAAATTAAGCAAGCTTGGCAAGGCACCTGGACATAGGGAAAGAGGAGTCTAAATTGTACAAAATGAACCAAAATATAATAATTTGGCTGGTTCACACACCATATCCTAACTCAGGCTAGGCTTCATCTTGGTTTATTGAATGATCACTTCACCAGGCTTGGGTTCACAAGAATTTTACATTATAAACCATTATGACTGGGTTCTACACAATACACTAAAACCAGATTATGGTTGTAATATTGTGAGCAGGGGCTTTTAAGGATTACAGGCCTTATCATGCAATTACTTACTATGCAATATGTCAGTCCTGGGTCATATACCACCTCATTCAAAATGATTCTGGTGATGGATGTGAATAATACCAACCCTGTGAATATCCCTGTACTTTAAAACAGCTCACACACAATAAGGTGGAAAATCAACCACAAACAGGAAAAATAATTGCATGTCAATGACATACTAAAATCTTTTAGTAACCTGATTAAATACGAAGGCCATAAATCCCAGACAGTATTAGATAACACACTGTTTACTGACGGACATAATTCCAATGGGAGTTACTTCCTAAGTGTCCAGTGAGGTCAGTTATTAAATCCTACATGCGCTAAGTAGATTTGCATCATGCTCTTATTAATTTTACAAACAACACAAGGCAGTGAACATATCCAAGGCACATTTGTCTCCTATTTTGCCTATCATATTTATAATTATAAGTCTTGTGTGTCTGAAAACAAGCCATGTTTTTACAAGACAGCAATCTCATCAGTCACAAGCTCTGTTGGTTGTTATCCAAAAAGTTTTCCTTTTGGATAAATCTGTATGATTTGGCTCACGCATGTGAGAATCCACACTTCTGGTGGAGCTTTTTATTAAGCACAAAATGAAAGATTTTTTTTTAATTGGCTGGTAATATGAAATTAGAGAAAATGGTTTGCAATACTGCAAGTTTACCTGTTTAGTTGGAGTATTAACTAAACCCTTTTTTGCATGTTAATACAATATTAATATTTTCATCACTGGGCTATCAATTTCCAAACTGAAGCAATGAGGCATATGTTTATTTGTTTATTATTTATATCCCATCTATTATTTTTACAAATAATTCAAGGCAGTGAACATATCCAACACACCTTCCTTCCCCTATTTCCCATAAAACAACAACCCTATGAGGTGAGTTGGATTGTGAGTGAGTGACTGGTCCAAGGATCACCCATCCAGCTTTCATGGCTAAGGCCGAACTAGAACTCAGGGTGTCCCAGGTTCTAGCCTGCTATTTACCCAATAGACCAAACTGGCTCTCTTTCCTTTCCTTTTTGCTATCATCCTTCCCAGTGGTGGGATTCAAAAAAATTTAATACCAGTTCTGTGGACATGGCTTGGTGGGTGTGACAGGGGAAGGATACTGCAAAATCCCCATTTCCTCCCCACCCCACCCCACTAACCTGCTTTCCAGCTCCATTCTCCTGTGCAGGGCAACAAAAGAAGACCCAGCCAATCAGCTGGGGCTTGGGAGGCAGATAATGGAGGGGGGCGAGGCCAGTCAGAGGGGGAATTTGCTGGTTCTCTGAACTACTCAAAATTTCTGCTACAGGTTCTCCAGAACTGGTCAGAACCTGAATACCACCTCTGATCCTTCCAGTGTTTTTAATAAATAGTGGACACTGATCACTGTATTTCAAACTTGGTGACTTGAAGTAGTGTGGACTTCAACTCCCAGGATTCGCCAGCCAGCATGCTGGTTGAAGAATCCTGGGAGTTGAAGTCCACATATCTTCAAGCTGCCAAGTTTGCAAAACTCTGGTCTCCAGCATACCTTGGTCCTTTTAATGGTAATAGTTTTCATGTTTCAGACTGGAAATCTTTCCCAAATTTTACCTGAAAATTCCAGAGTCTTAATCACTTGCTAGATAGAAGGATCTAGCTGACTTGGGCTTATTTCAAAAACCTAAGCAGAGATGAACCTAATCCTAGTTAGAATTGGATCAGAGACCAGAAAATTGTTGATAGTAAAAGATACTTTGGAAGCAGGAGGTGGCAAATTAGTTCCAAACTGTAAGGTTCCCTTCCCCAGAACTAGTTCAGTGATCTGTGTTTTGTTTAAAGCCATCTTGCCTTTGGTTAAGGTCCATCAACTTATCCTGCAATTTCATTTAATTCTGAATGACTCACAGAGCAATGCAAGTTTTTACAGAATTACTTTAGAGAACACAGAGGATATGCAGGAAGTGATGTTTGTAAAACTCCTCCAGCATAATCCATAAGGCCTAATGAATGGTTTTAACAGGAAGCTCAAGGATAAGTTCGAACTGATGCTACTGTGCTTCAGTATCAGCTGAGTTGCTGCAACTTCTGTTGGGGTACTGAATAAGTTTTTCTGTCATAAAAGGGTTGAGAGTAAGGCAATATTTGCTAGCTGGTTCAATGTTTTTGTTTCTGCAGAAACCTTTTCTTCTCTGGCTGGAAGACTACATAAAAGAGACATTATGTCCAACCTTTCTTTAATTTATTTATATATCAGCTGGCTGACTTTGTTTTATATGACATGTGTTTGCCTCAAATGAGTGCATACCTTATCCCACTCAAGCTTACCTGAAAATGTGCTGCAGAGTAGTAGATTGAATTGGGTTATTTCCTTTTTAGCACACACAGCATGTTACTTTAATAGAATATTGTGCCGTGATTTCACTGAAAAATAATATATCAGCCTGCCATTTTTTAAAGGACTATTTATCCTTCCAGATAAATAGACTTTAATCTGAATATAAAATAGGGGCCGTTTCAAGCTGGTGCTCTGTACACAAAGCTTGCCTCTGAACAGCTAGCAGCAGTTATCTGATTAGGAACAAATCAAGACACTTTACAATAAAAGTTAATCAAGTCCTTGAGAGAAGAGACTAAAAGCTTTTTAAAGAATTGGCCTTGGTTTGGAGAAACAAGCTCATCATCTAGGATGCAAGCTTGGCATATCTAATTTTAGGATTGTGATGGTTACTATGCAGAGTTCCTATCTTTTTGTGAAATACTTTCTGGGTGAATTCACACATGTTAAATGTTAAGATGGTTTCTGAATCTAACTTTGAATTCTGGAGCCATTTTGTTTCAATCCAGTTGCTTGGGGTTTAATCTAATCATAGATAAGCAAAACATAATTTGATGTCTCAAATCTAGACTGGTTTTGGTTGGGTTTATCTATTGCACTAATCTATTAGCAGTACCATGTGTGAGCTACCTTGAGCCTCTCTTAAGCCACAGTCAGCACTCTAATTAAATTATGACTTAGCATGATGTGTCTTCCTTTTTCAGCTGCAATGGATGATTGGAGCAGCAGTAACAAACTCATACAGAGGCTGGATTTTTCCAGATGTGGAGAAGACAGTGAGTTGGAAGAGGATAATGGTTTAAGAATGGAAGATGTGAAGCATGCCACTCCACAGAAAAATTGTGAGTTTCAGAACTGGAGGACACATTCTCCTTTCCCAGTGACCCCTCAGAGACAGTTGAATGATTGTTCTCCAGCACGCCCAGGTTCTTGGGTGAATCCTATCAGGAGGTGTAGGGCATCTTTGCGAAAGAAAACTGTCCCTTTGGAAGATTACCCTGGAACTCCTTTGCATTATGTTACTTGGCAGAAGCTGCAACTCTGTGATACCCCGAATACTCCAAAGGTATGGTGATGATGGCAATAATAATTCACAATCTGTTCTTCTGAGAATATCCAAGCCAACTACTGTAAGAGCATATTCTTGATCTTCAGTCTTTCATCATGCTTGAAACTTAATATTGCTAATTGCTTCTGGATTTATGATCCATAAAACGTATCTGCTGTTTTAAGTGAAATTGGTCATGTCAGATAAGACTTTATGAGTTTCTTAGAGGAGAGGCAACATAGTCCTCCATTAGTGTTCAGCTTTGAATTGTTTGGGGTGAATCCAAAACAGTGTGCCCAGACATCATAATAAGATTCAAAAAGATGAATCTAAGCTTGCTACTTGAAGAGCACCAAAAGGGACATTTTGAGATTTTAATAAAATGATGCATTTGAGCATGAACAATGTTTTAATAGACTCTGCTGCATAACATATACATTTAATATATGCATAGTAATGAGCAGCATTCAAATTATACTAAACAAAGTATATGGAGTGGTGCAGTGGCCTAGAGGTAGAGCTCTCACCTCAC